TAGGAAGGTACAATTGTTTGTCTAAAATGACCCCTCTACTAAATGACAGAGGCCAGATTTGTCCCAGGTTTTTGCTCTCAATCATTATGATTTTTCTCTAGACAAAGCAGATGTAGTTATTGTGAGTGAAAAGATGAAAACACAGCCTGCATGCATTGCTTTTGCAACCAGAAAAAAGGTGATAGTTGGCACCGTTGAAACTCAGCACTCTCAAACAGCAAGGTATTATGCCTAGCTAGAGTAAACTGGAAACTATAGTGTAATAAATTGTAAAATTCAGTAACTCTTATATGTGTCATCTTATTACCCAATGTTAAAAACAATAAATGTAGAAATGAATGGTTGTTGCACAGCTATCTTCAGATTTTAGTTGAAGAAGTGAAATGAAATAAAAATCACTGTAGCCTTCAAGGTTTTTTATGTCATAGGAATCTAGACACAGCTCTAATGATGAAGGAAAAGGAAAATCCAGTGGATTTTTTTTCTGTAATTATAATCCACTTTAAATGGGCATCCTGTGTCTTATTAAAATGCTTTCCTTGATTTTATCATCACTATAACGCAAAATAATTCCCAACGAAGACATGCCAAAGAAAAATGCCTTTACAATCAGGAGAATATGAATACTCACATTTATATTTTAAAATTGCAGTGTATTGAATTAGGTTCAGTACTTAAATGTCTAATTACCTATCATACTCTATACCTAAAACCAGGGGAAGGAGCCTCTCCAGCAATTAAAAAATAATCCTCATGTGCTAATATACTAAAACATAATTAATTATGAATTTTCTTTACATGATCAAATGCACCTTAGTTTTTGGACCAACTTCTTTTCATCAAAGCTCCTATGGCTTTAAATCTTTAAAAGCCATATAAAACCAAGTTGATATATAATACAGACTACTAAGCTCTATTATCAGACCAGACAGAAGTAACAAGGCCAAGTAAGAGCTTTACAGATTTTAAAATGAATCGAAAACCATAATGAATTGTGACAGTTTGAGTTTTTGAATTACTTAAGAATTCATTAGACCATTTATTAGTCATTTTCTTAGGCATATTTCAAAACATATAGAAAATTATCTTTTTAACATTTTTGTCTCTTTCTCCCTTCCCCTTCTCCCCGTCTCCCTTCCCTCCCTCCCTCCCTGCTTCCCTTCTTCCCTCCCTGTTTCCTTTCTTCCTTTCATTCTTCCTTCCTTTTATTTTTACTAGCAAAGGGAAAAGAGCATGATTTCTTTGCCAAGTGTTACAGCAAAAGCCAATTGCAACTACTAATATATAAATAAGTTGTCCTTTGCTCAGACTAAATAATAAATAAAAAATGCTGAGTTCCCATTGTTCCATTTTTTTTTTGAGTATATAATGCAAACAGGCCTTTCTACTATTTAATACTTATCTACACACACAGACACATTACCAACAGCTATCATTCTCACTTTATAAATGAAAAGTCAGGTAATGGCCCAAAGGCCTCTAAGTGTTGGTACTATCTCTTGCATACTTTCTTTCTCAGGGAAGTTTGCAGAAGACCCCAGGCCTTCATACCCTAACTCCTACAGCCTGTTAGGGAGATTTTCCTTCTAAGTACAAGTAGGGAAGTAGAGATGCCAAAGGACCAGAAGACAAAAGTACTTGTGGACATTTTAATGAAATTCCCTTCATGTAGCTTCAAGCTATCAGGACATAGGCCACTCCAACACCCTTAATCTTCTCCTCAGCTCTTCTGCTGGAGAACTTGGCCTTCACGATGACAGGCTTCTTTGGGAGCTTTCCCTTCCCCAGAACTTTGTAGTAGCCTGATTGCACCACATCAATGATAGGAGCAGCTCCAGTCTTGCTTTTGGCAGCATTTCCCCGTGTCTGCTCACTGACCAGGGTCCACAGTTTATCAAGGTTGACGGTTGGGCAGAAGCTCTGTTTCCTCTTTAAGTGGTAATGCCTCATACCAACTTTCCCAAAGTGGTTGATATTTGTCGAAGTTGATCCTGTGATGATGCAAGC